GTGTATAAATGAGTAAAGCGAACAGCGGTATCCTAGGCTATAATGTGAACTAACAGAACTTCAAAGGACTTAGCCACTCATATAAAAATGAAAAAAGAGGGCTGGAGAGATGGCTCAGCGGTTAAGAGCATTGCCTGCTCTTCCAAAGGTCCTGAGTTCAATTCCCAGCAACGACATGGTGGCTCACAACCATCTGTAATGAGGTCTGGTGCCCTCTTCTGGCCTGCAGGCATACACACAAACAGAATATTGTATACGTAATAAATAAAAAAATATATTAAAAAAATGAAAAAAGACAAAAAAGTTTGGAGGCATAAGAGTATAAAACTGCAAAATAATAAAATTATGCACAAATAAAAACACAAAATTGATATTGATGCTAAGTGAAAAAGTCAGTATGCTAATTACCTCCAAAGAGAAAGAATGAAGTGATTAAAGGTTATAAGATGGGAGCTTTGGAAGTGACAATGACATTCAATTTATATAGTGATAGGTGATAGTTATATAAGATTGCTTATAAGTATTGAAAGTCAACATAATTTTAATGTACATGTATTTTAAAAAGGTATTTAAAACCTCAGAATACTGTAAACTATAAAGCAGGACACCAATATGAGAAATTTAATTTCAATTTCAGCACTTGCAGCAAAATATAAAATAGAAAATAAAACTCTCAGTATTGGTCCCAAATTGAAAAAAACAAAAGTATAGCAAATACCTTTATGGCATAAACAGCAATGTCTTCAACTATAAGATTAAGAACAACGCAAAATTCTAAAGCACTTCTCCTGTTACCATTTCCTTTTACTGGCAAGCAACTTACTGTAACAGTAAGTTGGTGAAAACATTTGTATACAAACACCAACAATGAATGTGTAGCAAAATGAGAATGCTTCGATAAACTTCCAGAACCTGTGTGTTAATACTTAGTGTCAACTAGAAACAACCTCTAGTTAGTTGGAGAACTGCCTTGATCGGCTGGTCTTTGGCTGTGTCTATGAGAGACTGTCTTGGCTGATGTGGAGGCTCAGCCCACTGTGAGGTACCATTCCATAGGTGGGCCTGGGTTCCATAAGAAAGCAATGGCAGTGAGCAACCTAGAAAGCAACATTCCTCCATGGGCTGCTTGAGTCCCTACTTAGGTTCTTGCTCCACCTTCCCTCGGTGATGCACTGTGACCTAGAAGTGTGAACTAAAATAAACCCTCTCCTCCCCTAAGTTGCTTTTGGACATGGTATTTATCATAGCAACAGAAAAGCAAATTAAAACCCAGATTTAAAAAATTATATTTAAGGTCCCTTAGGACAATTCTCTCAAACCATATGTTTCAATCACGCTTTTCAAGAACAAAGTAAATGTAACATAATATTGTATTTTCTTAATACCTAAGGTGCTAAAACATAAAGAGCAACTGATTTTAATTAACAAATGAGCATATATAAAAATAGTCTAGAACAAACAGAAGACCATCTAGGAATTAGGTTATTTCTCAGAATACTTTTCTATCTGCCCAACTACTTGGAACTCCAGACTAAAAGTAAACTTTTAAGCTCCTGTGGGTCAATAAGAAGCATCATCTATATCTGACTCAACTATAACCCAAACCAAACCTTCACTTCTAAAATACATCTATACACATTTCCTTAATGTCTAATTTAATCTTTGCAAAAACTGTTCAAAGCAACTATTGTCATTACTGTCTTCTTGTAAATGAAGAAAACAAAAACTTAGGAAAGCAATACTCAAAATACAACCACTAGTCAGTATCCCTTTGTGCTGGTGGACGACAGACCCAAAGCACTCAGGTCTCACTGCTCACTCAAGAACAGCGGAGCTTTATGATTATCTGCTGTTATTTCTTAGATTACAGCTAATAGCACAGGCACTGTTCCGAACTTATTTCATCCTCACAACAGCTTTATGAAGTAAGCAATCATCCCAACTTTGTAAGAAAAATAAAATGAGCAAAAAGTTCTAATAATGTCTTCCAGACATAATTAGTAAGGTTTAGTGATAAAAGCTGACCCATGTTAATAAGCTAAGTAAGTTGCTCCTTAACCTCTTAGAGATATTACTTATTGCTACGGTTGAAATGTTTGTGGCCACTTCAAAATACATGTGTTGAGACTAAAACCCCAACACTGCGAGACAGTATTAAGAGCTGAGGGCCTTTGCGAGGTGATGAAGTCACAAGAGCAGAATCCCTATGACTGGGATTAGTATTCTGATAAAACAGGCCCCAGAGTGAGTCTTACCCATTTCCACCAAGTGATATTCACAGCAAGGTGCCATTCTATAAATAAGCAAGTGGGCCCACACAAGACACAAGCCTTGGTCTTGAACTTTACAGCCTCCAGAACTGTGAGAAATAGATTACTGTTGTTCATAAGCCACACAACACATGGTATTTTTTGATACAGCAGTCTATGGAAACCAAGTCATTTTTCAAGGAAAACATCACTAATGAAAAGGGCTCATATCTTAATCACTATGATCAGTGGGCAAATTTGAAATCACACAAAATAAATGTTATTAGTTACATTTAATAGGGGGAAAGCAGTATGACTTGATCCCTTTTATACTAGAATGTCAGCCAATGAAATACTGATTCCAGTTATGACATAATGATCCAGGGTTGGAAGAAACATTAACAGTATGGGCTCTAAATTAAGATCATAGAGTTTGACCCAGACATTGATTCTTACCCACAGAATCAAAAGCTGGTGGGTTGTTTTGTTTTTTTTGTTTTTGTTTTGTTTTGTTTTGTTTTTAAAAAAAGACAAGAGCCAAGCATGGTGTCACACAGCTGCAATCCCAAAACTCCAGGAGTTCAAGGTTGCCCTGAACGACATCAAACCACATGTTAAAAGGGAACAGGAAGGTGGAGAAAAGAGAGAAAACAGAAAAAAGAACAGAGGCTCTCCAGAACTTCAACTGAACACCAAATCATCAGAGCCTACTCACTTTTAACCCTGCGCTATGTGCTCTAAAATCCAGTCCGTCTCATGAACTCCCCTGTGCTAATAACGCTCAGCTAGTCTTATGGAAATGGCTTTCCTCTGGTGGTTCGGCATGCTATTCAGAGCTGACACTCCACCTATCAAACCTCTGGATCTCTCTCTGAGTTGTATAAATCTCTATGTCCAAATACCCGCTATCACCTGTAACCTCATACTGAACGTGCCTAACTTTGAATCCATCTCATTTTCCATTTTTCTCCTCAAATCAGATCCTTATCTCACATGGAGATGTTGAAGTCAGAAATGGCAGCCAAGGCTTTCAAAGCACCCCATTAAACTCCACATAGTCTACCTTATGATCGCTCTAAACTACACTCTTCTCTGTCCCACTTTCAGCAGGTGTCTCTGTCATTTTATTTCTGGATTAAGTCTGGTTCTTATGCCTTTTTCTTCATTTATTAACACAAAATTCACTTCCCCAGGAGCCAGTAGAACCGAGTTTCTGAAAACATGAAAACCTTATCATTCGCCCCTTCCCCTTAAAACTCATATTAAAGTCCCACAGCCTTCAGAGCGAAGAACAATCTCCTTCCGTGGGTTCTTAAGGACTCCCTCCTACTTCTCCCCCCTCTTTCCTTTTTCCACTACACCATTCAACCTGCCAGTCCTTAAACACAGTACTCCACCTACACCTTTTCACAAGCTGCTTTCTCTACCTGGAATACCTCCTGATCCTTATAGTTAATGCCTTCTCAAGAGTATAACACCCATCAGAAGTATATTTTCTAAGAGTAGTAGCAAAGCTATCTCAGTCACTGTATAAATACACCGCATTATAAACTGCTGTATTTCCCCATTAGACTACAAAGTCCACAAGGGCACAGGCATATCTTACTTGTCTTTGTGTCCCACAAGTCTACATGCCATTTATCAAGATGTAGACACAAAAAAAAATGAGTATCAAAGGAAATTAAAATTCTCAAATATGTGCACATGAGATTGAATACATAATACAAGACATAAAAATACCTATCTTATTACCACACTCAGAATATACTCTAAAATTCATCACTGACAGTTCTAAAGTCACAGTCCCATAAAATACAGTTTTCTATATGATAGTTGATACTGCTTCAAAGGAAAAGAAATTTGACATCAACTTTCAAGTGCTTAGAGAAACAGCACCATAGTCAGAAAAGATTTTTTTTTAACCAAAGATGTAGAAATCAGAGAATTCAACAACAAAGTATCTTTAAAGTTCATCAACCTTTAAAGTTCCTATAAGGCAGTTATGACTATGACAACAAAAAATTGCTTAATGGTTAAATATGGTAATAGCCTCAAAATCAGTCACTCTGAAATTAAATATAAAACAAAACTCTTTACTCATGCCAATGGCATAGAACAAGATTCAGCAAATTAAATATCTGACATTTTTTATTCTGGATATTACTCAAAACATGATTTCTGCTGGTGTTCCTAAACCACAGTCTTGTGAGAAGAAGCCCACCTATCAGCAAACACCACAAATGCACATGTGGAAAACTTACTATACCTCTAGTTTGTTTTTATCAACAGCAGCTTGCAGAGAAGGAGAGGATACCAAAGGCTGAAGAGGGGCATCAGAGGAGGAAATCTAGATGTGCAGACGCAAAGTTAGGAGGGAAAAAAAGAAGAGAAGGTAATGATCAAACTGACAAACACCAGAAAGAAACCAACACTCATGTTTATGATAAAAACAGTTTAAAGAATTTTAACAAAGTAAAATATTGCCATCAAGAATAAGTATGTTTTAAAAACAATGTCTATGTGAAATATTTAAAAAAAACATAGCAAAGAATATACACTTAAAATAGATTTTACTAGGCTAAAAATTTAAACTGTTTAGATAAGATCATAACAAAACTAATAAGTATAATTTTCTCTGGTAATTCATTCTCAGTCAAAGTTACTACTGGAACCCTAACATACTGAAGCAAGAAAAGGTTTTATCCAAAGTTGGAGAGTAAAATTTTCTTTTTGTTTTTGCTGATAATTACTTTAAGAATGGAAAGTAAAGCAGGGGAAATAATAAAAGATAATTACATTTTTAACTTGATGTTTAAAAAAGCAAAAGCAAAGACTAAGAGAAGACTGGGTTAATGTAACAGCTGAGTAGCAACAGACTTATTACAAAATAATTTATTCATGTCCTTCACAAAAATGGGCGTGCACACAGAAGTCCCAAAGCCGCACTTGCTGGGTTACCTTAAGAGATTAAGACAGTCACACATAAGCAGCCATTTACACACAAAAATGGAATTCACCTGAAAGCTTTGCACACATCTTCCTACCCAATCTCTACTTGCACTGGTGAACACTTCAACAGAAGCATTTCTTACTGCTCTCTTCGCCACAGAAATAAAACTGACTGTTTATAAAATGCATGCCAGATCTCTGGAGCCATAAAGCTGGCATCTCTGCATTTCCCTGTCATACTGGGAGTGTCTATGGGGATTTCGAGTTGCTATTATAGATGGGCTATCATGTAATGTCAAAAGAGTACTTCACAATGCCAACTCCTCCTTCAATCTGCTAGTTAATTAAGACTGTAGTTCTTGAATCACTTTGGACGCTTGTTTCTCCCTTGCACAGTGTTTCTGGTGTGATTTGCGTAAACTAGATGTTTAATTAATATTAAAGCAAGCCTCACATAAAAGAAAATGCACAGCACATAGAAATGTAGAATTTCCATTAAGAAAAAGTCAAACTAGCCGGGAATAATGACATTACCCAGCACTCAGGACGCAAGACATTCCGGTCCAGACAGCTAAATAAAAAGAACTTGTCCAAAAAAAGAGAAAATCTGTTCAAACTGTACCTTAGAGCCCATCCTAAAGTTGGTTGTTCCTAGAGATATTTATTAAAATTTTCATGTAAAATGGGATTAAAAAGATAAGATTACTTAATAAGGTAACCTGTATCATAAAACTTATTTGGACAAACTTGTAAAAAAAAACAACACAAAAATATAAAAGGTGAGAAGGTAAACTATAAAACATCAAGAAACAAAAAACCCCACTTTATTATGAAAGTGATTGTTATCCTCTTTAGAAGGTGTAAGAAAGAAAAGAAAAAAGAAACAAACTAGGTACTCTTGAAAGTTCTCTGTCTCTCAAAACCATGTCTTTCTCATACCTCACTAGCAAGAGGGTACGACTGTCTCCTGGAACAGTGCTCCTGACTTCCCCAAATCCTGGCTCTATACTTAAGTTACTCTCACATGCAAATCTGATCTTAGATTATTTAAACACTCCTTAACTACATCACACCTACTGTATCCCCTTTTCCTTCCCTGCTCTGGCTACACTCTGCATTCTGTCACCTACAACTCCTCCTAGTCTGTTCTCTAGTCTGTCTCTACTGACTTTTAGGAACCTTTGCTCTTCTTATCCTGACTAAGTAAAGTGCCCACACTTTTATTAGTTCTTTCCTCTTGACTTGGCATGGCTTTTTCTAGGACTCCAAGTATTCACTGGTTCCTACTGACTGGGTTATATAGCCCACATTGGCCTTGAACTTACTCTCTAGCCCAGGCAGGCCTAGACCTTGGGATCCTTCTGCCTCCGCCTCTAAACTGCCTCTAGACTGGTGGTTCTCCACCTGTGGGTTGCAACCCCCTTTCATGATATCTTGCATATCAGTTATTTACATTAAGATTCAAAACAGTAGCAAAAATACAATTATGAAGTAGCAATGAAATAATTTTATAGTTGGGGGTCATCACAACATGAGGAACTGTATTAAAGGGTCACAGATTTAGGAAGGTTTAGACTAAGATTACAGATCAGTCAGCACCACCAGGGCAGCCTATTGAAGCATTCCTTATAGCTGAAAATAAATCATCCCTGGCAATGAAGAAGATTCCACTCTAGCTTCTCTCACTCTCACATGGATTCCAGCAGCCTTGGTTCACGGCTACACTAAGGCTGTGGAACAACAGAAAACAATAAGCTCCCTGCTATTGTTTCATTGCAGTTTACTGCTTTGAATTTTATCACATTTTGAAATATGGTATAGAAAGCCAAGAAGTAAATCAGTACTTTGTTTTGAAATTGCCTAACATAGAGAAAAAGGATCATTCTTAAAATAGAAAAAAAAATCAAAAGCAGTAGCACATTCTGACAACACTTACAATAACATCTGAAACAGGAAACAGATAAATTATAAAAATAAGACATTAAAACAAATTAGAGCTATTTAATACAGGAGTTATAGCCACATAAAACTCAATAGTCATCAAGATAGCTCTTGGTCAGAGTACAACTAATGTAACTAGTGTCCAAATGGTCCCACTTCTTTCAGGAAATAACTTAGATATAAGGCACTCATAGTCTGTCTCATTTTTAAAATCTGGTATAACCTCTACTTAGTATTCTAGCTGACTCTGAACATGGGTTACATGTAAATAACTTTCATAAATGTTTCTGGATTTTCATTTCATTAGTAATATAAACTTAGGAGTATATAAACTTTTACTTTAATTTTTTTTGCTTCCAAGCCTACAAAAAAACGAATAAGAAAAACATAGTATCAGTGCCTATATAAACACTAAATTCTTCACATGTTAACAACACACCATGTATGTTCTCTACACACTCATACACATATGCATGCCAACTGCCAGATTTCACTGAACTATTTGAAAATGAGTTACAAACATGTCATTTAATCCTAACACTGTAATTTTACTTTATTTCCTATGACTGAAAAGATTGTCTTAACAAACAATACCTATACATGAAAAAGGGAAATCCAGTTTTCATCTAAAGATAAAGCTCTTATAAATTAATACATAATCCTAACGTCCAATTTGCTGAGGAAAAAAAAAACAAATTCAAGTAAAAAGGTTTAGAATGTCACATTCGGGGTTTAATATAAAGTAGTATGTTTTATAAAATATTCTAAATAATATTTCATATGAAAATTTGTTAAATATTGAGTTAGTTCACTTAAGGATGAATGGAGTCTTAAATTCAAGCACATTATAAACATCATTCTCAACACTGTTAATTTTTATTTATCCTTAAACAGCTTTTGTCTGTTCCACCCACCAAAGGTGAAGAAGCAGCTCAAAGGACTACAGGGCTATCTTGGTACCAGAATCTCCAGATATTTTAATACTTGGTTCCCTGTTAGTGGCTCCTTGGAGAGGCTTAGGAGATGTAGCCATGAGGTCTTAAAGATCTGTGTCATTTCCAGTTTGCTCTCTTTGCTTCAGTTTGGACTATGAGATGTAGCACTCAGCTCTCAGCCTCCAGTTCCAGGTGTCCTGCCTGCCTGCTGCCACCCTTCCCTAGTGTGGTGATGGACTCTTAATGCCACTGGAACTGAAGAGTAAACTAAACCCCAAATAAACCCTTCTCTCTATAGGCTGCCTTGGTCAGGGTGCATCACCACAGCAACAGAAAAGTACCTGAACAGGAGGAACTAAAAGAAAAAGCTAATTTAATGCCAAATGAGATGAAAACTCTCAAAACTGCCTGATAAATGACTTCACAAGATTAATTACTGTAACACTTTCTTCTTAAATAAGGAATCAAAGGCCAAAAATTGATTTCAATGATAAAGGAAATTAGTCTTATATAATTAACTAGGGAGGAAAATTTTAATCCGAAATAAAAAACTAGATAAAAGCAGTTGATTAATTTGATTGCTACAGCAAGGTAACAACTATTATCATATACTTGCTAATAATCAAGAAAAGTATCCAGCATTAATATGCTCTTGGGATACTCTTCATGTTTCAACAAACAATATTCTAGCAGGAAAAAAGACTACAAGTTTTCTTTAGTATTCATTTTGAGAATTTACAAAGTAATTTTATATTCCCCTCTTTTTTTTCCAACTGGTGGCTTAGTCTTTTTTAATTACAGAATTGTTTTAATGAAAGGTCAAGTAAACTGGACCCTCTCTACTTTAAGTTACAAGGTTATATAACCAAAAAAAACCTAATATTTAAACAGTTAAGCATATGCAACTAATATGTTTTATAATAAACAAAATGAGTTATATGTTAAACGTCTGAAATCTACTTAACAAACATCAATTGGTAAAAGATGGTTTTACTTACATTTGTAATAGCTATAGCATTTTTATCATAGTATTTCTTCTTTTCATATTTATCTCTGATGAAAAATTCTACTGCTCTGAAAACAGATAACTTAAGGAAAAAAGTGAGTTCAGTCACGTGTACATTTCCCTTATTCATTCCTCTCCAAACAGCCCACACTATTTTTCTAATCCCCGATCTCCACTTTCTCACCTTATTCTGTACATGGTCATACTTTTCTTCTCCCTCTCCCTCCACAGAAAGTGCATTTATTTCAGGAAAACTCATTCTAAAACAATAAACAAACAAATCATCCCAACTTGAAAAGAAAAAACAACAGTATAATTCTTCATTCCAGTCCACCACCACTTCTATCACCCAACTCTCAGTTTAGCTCAGGTTCATTTTACAATAAACTAGCATCCAAGCAGTACTCAGAATGTACCAAACAGTGCATGCTGTGTGCTGTACACCGATTCTTTGAATGTCTTTCAAAACCAAGTTAATGTACTTATGGCTATTTTCACACCATAAATGAACAATTAGCAACTCAGAAAGATTAAGTACCTGATTCTAACATGATTTTTTTCCTACCTTACCCCAGCTATCTCAAGAATTGGTGACACTCAGAATTTCCTATTTATTAAAATAGTGGCATTTTTTTTTCTTGAAAAGGTGAGGAATGAAGAAATTCAGGAACTGAAACTAAAGTTTCCACTTATAACAAGAAAGCTTCTCAGAAATTATCTATGTAGTAAGTAATATAAAAATTACACACGGTCAAAGTTGATCTGTCTACTACTGTTTAATAAAAATAAAAGATTAAGACTAGTGAAATCATTAAAACTTTCTTAATTATTAACAGAGAACTATTGAGAAAAAAAACTATTTTTCAATTCCAAGGAAATGACTTAAAGAATGGCTATGCTGGTTTTGACTGCTCTCAGTTCCTAAGAACCCCTTAAAGCAAAAACACTCAAGAAGCACACACACACATGTCCTTGTGCATGTGTGTGTGTATATGCATGTATGTATGTATTTGTGCACAATACTAAATGCAACCAATTCTTCATTGTTAATTTTACCTAACGTAAATAACGACTAAACACTAGGGATCTGCACATTTTGAGGAGCAGGTAAATATTTTATGATATTTACAAGAGTAGATCTGTACTCAACTCTTATATCTAGAAGAGACCATGTAGTCACAGAATATTGTTACTGGTGGGTATGGCTGTATTCTAACTAAAGTTCATTTGTAGAACAGATCCTTGATTCAAAGTTTTATAGTCATTCATGAATTCTATTCTAATATTCTGGATGAAAAAACCAAAATGGATTTAAAGGGCTAGCAACACGACTCAGCTCGTAAGAATGCTTGTCAACAACCCCGAGAATGTGCGTTCAAAGCCAGGAAGCCATGTTGTAGGAGGAAAGAACAATCACAGCAGGTTGTCCTCTGACCTTCTCGTGCACCCCATTGCATATGTGGACACAGATACTCAATAGATACTTATTAGATATAAGGACTATAACATATTTAAAGAGGAAACTCTATAAACTGTCATTCTAGGCATTTCCAAAAGAAATTTTCACTGTATGTCTACTGATGCTAATGCCTAACTCCCAAAAGCAGTTTCCAATAAAAAGGCGACACTTGTGTATCTATTAGGTACCTACTATTAACTTGTAATTTCCTTAACTTCCAAGTTAGCTAATTATCAAATAAATACTTTAGTAGATAAAAACACGACAGAAAAGCTGTCATCACAGGTTGTTCAGAGTTTTGAGAATACATAAATATTTAAGCAATCAACAAATGAAGCTAGTTTTTAATTTATATACTTCTGTGCCTCAGTTTCATCAGCTTTAAAATAATATTCATTGTAATTTATTTGTAAATAATATTATTGAATTATTATAAGAATTAAATGTCAGTCTCTGTAAAGTACAAAGTAAGTAAAAAAAATGCATGGTACATACTGCCATTTTAAGTATTAGCTCATAACTAATAGAAAAATATTGTGATAGAAAATGTTTTTAAAAGATAAGATCTGTAGTAGAGGATGAAATACCAACTACTGTAAAACTGTTGGCTGATAACCAATTTAAACAAATGAGAAATGACAACAAAGCCAATATATTTGGAGATCAGGAAGAATTAATGTAGTAGGAGACTGCTCATTCGTTCCCCGGCTGCTCAGAACCAAAAAATCACACAGAAACTATATTAATTACAACACTGTTCAGCCTATTAGCTCAGACTTCTTATTAACTAATTCTTACATCTTAAATTAACCCATTTTTATTAATCTGTGTATCACCACGAGACTGTGGAGGTGGAGTCTTTCTCCTTCAGCAGTTACATGGCATCTCCTTGACTCCACCTATTCTCTCTTTATATATATCTCTGTTAGGATTTCTCACGTGGCTGTTCTCTGCTATGCCATTAGCCAAAATAGTTTTATTCATCAACCAGTAAAAGCAACACATATTCAGGAGGACATCCCATATCACATTAATCCTTTTTCTGTCTCTTGATACTGAGACATAAGGACTTAGGTATACTACTGATGTAAATGAACAGCAATGGAAATACAATAACAGTATTTTCAGATGACCAAAGTAAATAACATATTACTTACAAGTCAAGTTTACATAGCTGTTTGAGATTTAGTAAATAAAACATGAAGATAAACATGTATTCTCAGATCTCTCTCCTCCACTTTAAAGATACCACTCGAAGTACTTATTAAATTCCTTTCTGTTCCCAAGAACAAGACCTTCCAGTTTCATACTGCTAACAGCTATAAAACTTTGCTTTGAAAAGCTCAAAACAGAACTGGTAATGAGTTTTGATGTACAACAGAACTCATGGAACTGAAGTAATTGAAACATTTAGTTAGATAAAATATCGTAATAATGGAAAGCTTTATCGTAATAAAGTAAAGCTTTATCTTTTGCCATACCCTAGTACATGAAGCTATAAGTAACCACATCTCACATGAGAAATGATAGTTTCAGTAGCATTTGCACAACCTTTCTAAACTGTAAAACTTTGAGAGAGCAAGAAATCTTGTTAAGAATGTAACAAGGTCCCTGTTATATGAATTTAAATCAGTTTAGCTCCAGTGCCCTCGGGTTATATATTTACATCTACAAAAGTGCAGAGATATTAGACTTTGCTCAAAGACCCATAAGCTTAACAAGGATGGCTGGAAGGAAGGAAGGAAAGAAAAAGAAAGGAAGAAAGAGAGGAAGACTTTTTCTTACTTAATTCCCTTATGAAATTGTATTTACAACTATAAAGGTACAGAAATGTGAGCTTTTTAACAACCAAGGTCTGCCTTGTAAATTGCCACGTGGATGCAGAGAACTGAACCAGATCCTCTGGGAGAGCAGCCAGTGCTCTTAACTGCTGAGTCATCTCTCTAGACTGACTTTTTTCTTTCTTTTCTTTTCTTTCTTTCCTGGGAATCCAATCCACTGCCTTAGGCATACTACCAGATAAGCATTTTGTCTCTGAGCTGTAATTCCCATCCTGGTGTTAAGTTTTTCTAGGAGTTAAATTTAAGCTTCAGACTAAAAGGAGGCAAAACTGATTTTCTTATTAATCTCTCTAAATCAGTGGTTCTCAACCTGAAGGTAGAGACCCCTTTGGGGGACTGAAAGACCCTTTCACAGGGGCTAAGAAACACCATCAGAAAACACAGATTATTTATATTAGAATTCCTAACGGTAGGAGAATTCCAGTTATGAAATAACATGAGGAACTGTATTAAAGGATTGCAGAATTAGGGACGCTGAGAACCACTGCTCTAAATAGCAGTGCTTTAGAGTAAAAGAAAAAATGATGACAAATATTATTTTTGAGAAAGGATCTCATTATGTAGTTCAGACTCAAGTAGTCTGTCATGATGCAACCTCCTGAGTACCTGAACTTTATTTACTTTTAGGCTAGATAGGTACATGGTGGCTAAGTTCACAGTCCAAGACTCGTCACCTTTTACTCTAAACTTCATATATGCTTAGACAATGTCCCTCCCTAACCCTTTCCAACAACTATAAGACCATCTTTTTGTAAACAGTAAAAGATCAATACCTCATATTAATATGATCCAATTTAGTAAATGCTTTGGGAAAAGTGGTATTTACTCTGACAAATCACTTAGTATGTCTGACATAGCTACAGCTATGTCAGATTCTCATGTGTTTACCTGGCTACATTTATTCTACAAATATGTGCTATTCTTCAGGGTCTGTGTACACCTTCACTTTCAGAGAAGGAAAGGCCACTCCAGAGAGGATCTCTCTCTCTCTCTCTCTCTCTCTCTCTCTCTCTCTCTCTCTCTCTCACTCACTCACACACACACACACACACACACACAAACAAAGGGTGTCCATCACTGACTCTCCTATCTGTATTTCCTTTTTCTTCTAGACTCCGCTCCTTTAAGAGAGGTTTTCCTCATTCATCAGTAGCAGAAAAAAAAAGCCATGGTTTTTTGAAACAGCAGCTTCCTGGGCCATGCTGCCAGCACAAACACTGGCTCTTTTTGGAGGCCAAGCATTTAAATGGAGTTTGTGACCAGAGTGCTACAACTTGCTTAATGGCAACATAGACCTGTTGTGTGCCTGAAAATGGGGCCGTGAGCATGACTCATTAAACAGACCTCCGACCCGCCATGTTGAACTGGGCAGAGCCAAAAGGCAAAGCAGCCTTAGAAGTGCTTAGCATTTTAAGAAGTGCTCCTGGACAAAAAAGATTTACAGATACACAACAGGACAGATTCAGACATAAAAGGACTCTAAACAAGTCACAGTGTGTTTAAAAAATATATGTAGGCTTGGGAGAAAAAGAAAAAGAGTATAGCAAGTTATAAGAGGAAAAGTAAATGGTTTATTTTTTTAAAAAAAAAAAAGTCCATAAGAGAGTACTGACAGTTGTAGATTAAAGTAATAAAGATAATAAAATAAATACTAAAAAAATAGAGTAAGAACAAATAAGCCACAAAAATATGAAAAATACACAGAGTCTAGATTATGTATATTATTGTGTTTTCTTTGAATTTTTTGACTGCAGAGAAACATTTGATTCTGGGGACTGCTAAGCAAAACCAACATATATACTTTAAAGGTATCTTGATTTCAAAATATGGATCTAAGGATATGTTGCTTTGGAAAAGAGGTTCTTTTGTTTCCACAGAAGTTGAGAACCTGTGGAATCCTTCCAGACTAATGTGGTTTGATAGACCAACCCACCTCCAAAAGGTTGCCATAAACACGCCCAAAAATTACTTCACCCAACAAAAAGCAGAAAGCAGTTTGAAAAGAACTACACCGAAATTCCCTAAGTGATTGTTTATAAATGTTTGTTTACACTTAAAGGAGGATATGCTATAAAGATTTGCACTGGTATAGATCTGGGTTTATTGATACAGATTTAAAGTCAAATTTCTTATTTTATATATATAAACATATCCGTTCTTGATCAAGGTATTGTGTTTACGTAGCTTATTTTAAAATGTTATGTATAATTAAGAAATATAGGTTAGGGCTGGAGAGATGGCTCAGTGGTTAAGAGCATTGCCTGCTCTTCCAAAGGTCCTGAGTTCAATTCCCGGCAACCACACTGTGGCTCACAACCATCTGGAATGAGGTCTGGTGCCCTCTTCTGGCCTGCAGACATACACACAGACAGAATATTGTATACATAATAAACAAATAAGTAGATGGATGGATGGATGGATGGATAGATAGATAGATAGATAGATAATATTTAAAAAAGAAATATAGGTTAATAGATAATCATCTATAATAGTCAAGCTTGTAGTCATGTTAGGTTTTCTAAACATATAGAGATATATTTCAGGTAGATAAGTTATCTTCAAACCTTTCAAAGACTATAGAATATGGCATTTAAGATGTCTAAGAACTTAGGACTTTTTATGACATTGAGACACACCTGCTCCTGGCAGCACCAAGCTACTTCAAGAGAAAGATGGGTACCGAAGAGGCTCCTTATGGTATTGGTTAGCCATTTGAGTAAGAAACTGCTCTTGCCTAGACTGCTTGATGTTATAATGTATGAACTGGACATGCAGGACCCACAAAGAAATGACTGCTGAACTTGCCTAAAGGTGAGACTGTTGAAGATATGGAGAGGCGGGCTACGTTCCTGGCACCCAGCCACCCGCACGGCTAGCTTTATACCCGAAATAATCACATGGAAACTGTATTCATTTAAACACTGCTTGGCCCATTAGTTCTAACCTCTCATTGGCTAGCTCTTACATATTGATCTAACCCATTTCTAATAATCTGTGTAGCCCACGAGGTGGCTTACCAGGGAAGATCTTAACCTGCATCTGTCTGGAGTGGGAGAATCATGGCGACTGCCTGACTCAGCTTCTTTCTCCCAGCATTCTGTTCTGTTTACTCTGCCTACCTAGTTTTCTGTCCTATCAGGCCAGGCAGTTTTCTTTATTAGTTAACTGTTGCGGGAGGTCCTTCCGCCCCTCCAACCAATAGCTGCTGTGATACCAGCCCATTGGGGCGTGGTCTCACTCCCTTTAAAAAAGCGGCTATTTCCTCTGCTCGCTCTCTTCTCTTACTGCTCCGCTGGAGACGAGACTCCCTTCCTGGTTGCGCAGATGGCTGTTGTCTGGGATTGTGATCTGTAAGTTTTTCCCCTTTAAATAAATAACACCCTATTAATCATAACTCCAAACTGGTGTTGCCTTGTTCGTGACTTACGCCTTCAGTTAACCAATGAAAGCAACAGATAAGATACAAGACCCACCTCCATCATGAGACCATCCTTTGCGGTTCCTGCCTCATGAAAGAGTCTGTAAGACATTCAGGAGGACACAGAAGAAAGTTACTGACAAACTGCCAATATAGGTGAAACTATCTTTGAAATTTCTCGCTTTGTGGAAAAGTCTGCTGGATGCTATGGGTCTGTAGGCTGAAGATGGATGCCCAAACAGTACAGAAGAACTTTGGGTGACTGTCCAGGCAGCAAGATGTCTCTGTCAATTCTAGAGTTTTGGAAGTGGCTTAAATTGCACTTCCTGCTTACTTAGGTAATATTATATCCTTCTGGAGTCTTTGATGGAGTTGAAGAATAGATATAGTTTTCTTTAGTCATGATACAAGATAAAGTAGATATTGTAACTGTAATTCTTACCTGATACCTGCTTTGTTATGCATAATTTTACTATGTTAAAGTTCAAACCTTCTTTTTATTTAAACAGAAAAGGGGAGGTGATGTGGGATTCCCCTCTGTATGCTGTGGGTACCATTGGTTAATAAACTGTCTTGAGCTTGTGATAGGGTAGAATAGTGCGAAGCAGGGAAAAGTAAATTGAATGCTGGGAGAAAGGAGGCAGAGTTAAAAGAGAAGCCATGGAGCCACCGCCAGAGACAGACATGCTGAAACTTTGCAAGGAGGCTATTAGCCTCATGATAAAATATAAAATAATGGAGATGGGTTAATTAAGAAGTAAGAGCTAGCTAGCAATGTGCTAGAGTAATTGGCCAAACAGTGATTTAATTAATACAGTTTCTGTGTGATTATTTTGGCAATCTGGGTGGCTGGGAAACGAATAAGCCTCCTCCTACTACACACACACACACACACATTCACTACTTAAAAATCAAAGCATAGTTAGGGCAAATCATTTCTCTTTCTTTTTTCTTTTTAGGACATGGAGATCAAACCCAGGACCTTCTTCTACATACTGAGCAAGCCATTCTACACAGGCTACATTACCCATTCCTAGTTTTCATGAAATAGGTTCTTACTATGTATCAAACCTACAAGTTGGCACATAACTTAGGACCTTACAGCTCTACCTCCCAGAATTGGTGAGATTATAAGTATGCACTATCATGCATGTAATTTCCATCTTTAATTAATGCTACCATAATACACTTCACATCTTCCTCAATACGAACATAAAATACTAATGGTAAAAATGTGCTAACTCTTTTAAACATACAATATACAAAATTTAAAGGATACTGATCTGTCTGTGGTCTTCGAAAATTCTCTGGAAGATTGGCTTCATAAAGTAGTCTTGCTTTAGTATTTCCCATATCTTGCATGCACTGTAATAAAAAAGAAGTCAGGTCTTTTCATTATTCATATGAACAAAAGTAATTCTGGCACACACACATAAATGAACCCTGAAAAACAGTTACAATTTCCAAAATATATTCTCCTCTTTAAGATAATACTTTAAATCCTAACTACAAGGATAATTATTCAAGTTCCAAGCAGAGTCATTATATTCAAAATCCTTAAATCCTATATGCATGTGACTCCATGATTTCTCAAATGTCTTTTTCTGTGAAAGCAACCCTACCTGCTTCTTAAAAATGAAATTCCTGGCATTTTGTGGGTAGTTCTAATGTTTACAAAAATGGAACATTTGAACAGTGCTGCCATTTCCTGGACTAACAACTTAAGATCAAATTTACTACAGGGTTTACTCTAGGATTTTCATAATTACAGCCAAGAAGATGCAAGCCTGGTAAAGAGAGAGGGCTGACCTAAATTCCACGCAGTAGATTAGCTGCTGTGCAATGAAAGCTTTCCTTAAACAAAGCAAAACCATCTTTGAGCCTTAATGGCTCAATTTTATATACAAGGTCAGAAGTATACAGAATACCGCTGTAGTTTAAGTATTCCCCAAAGGTCTACTTGTTAAGGGCCCACTCCCCAAAGTGGCACCACTGGAAGGTAGTGGGGCCTGTAAGTGGAGCCCAGTGAGATCATGGTATAACAGCTGACTTCACCATGCACCCCACATGCACACCATTACCATCCTCTGGCTTCAATATCGCCAAAAGCAGAAAGGTGCCTTCTTGGACTGGAGCCTTCAGAACTGTCAGCTAAATTATGCTTTTCTACTTACAAGTTCATTTCTTTGGGTACAGTATATACAAAACTAATAACAAACCCATTACAAACCTCTTCCCTAAAATCTAAGAATTCAGAAAATATAAAATAATTGTATAATCATTTTTTAGATTTTTATAGTTTTTTATTTAGATTTTTATAGTTACAAGTGGTAACTAGCCAAATAGCATTTCCTTGATATTTTACCACACTACAAGTTTGATTCACAGACAAAATATTTTAATATTATATAATTTACAGACAACTTGCATTTAACTATTTTAATTAGAGATTCAGTTTTTACAATGTAGTTTTTTTGCCCTGATTTCCCAGACATAAACCCTAAACTCCTGAGAAAACAATCTAAGTTTAAGAACTATCTTGACGCTGGTCTTGAGTTGAAGCTCTAAAGAGGACAAAGAGGTATTTTCCTTTAAGTATAAATAAGCATAAATTTTCACAACTGAAGGCTCACTGGTGCCTAAGGTCCCAGCATACACTCAAATCTGGGTAACTATCCCACCTGGCTCTCAGGTAAACAAGATTGCTATTCCTCTTGAGAAGGGATGCAGGTGGGAACAGTGTAAAAAAATGATAAAAGAGATAAAGAATTAAATATTTTTATCATTTAGTCCTTTCAACATAAGGGAAACGAAATCTAAGTAACTTGAGATACATCCCCAACCCCCATGGTGGAAGGAGAAAACCAAGCCCTGCAGGCTGTCCTCTGACATCCATGGATACGTTGTAGCACCTTGTATCCATTCTATCCCTAACAAATAAAGATTAAAAATTCTTTTAAGAAAAAAGTAAGCATTATACTTTAATTGTTTGTAACCAGGAAGAAATGTAAGCTGGGGTTATAAATGATATTTCTTCACTTTTACCATCTAGTTTCTGGGAATCAAGCCAGACTATAAGTACTAGACATCATTCTTAAAAACACATTTTCCCCACATTCCTGAAAAACACACTTTTAAAACCTGTTTTTACTCTCTAGGAGGAAAATACTTGTACCCAAGCCATCAAAAATTCAAATATACTAAGAATTGTAAATATTATCTTATAATAGTGAGGTTATAACATTATCTGTCAATACCTTTTTCTATTTCACCCCCAGTATTCAAATGTGAAGAAGGGAGATGTATGGATTATAAGCCAATATTTTTATTAACACTTTTAAAAAGATACTTTAAAATGAGTTCATTTCGAAATTAAGACTTTAAAAACACAAAAAAACAAGCATCTGGCAAACAAAAAATACTCTGACTCTAGAAAATGTTTTCAAAATACTATAGAATACAAAGCCAATGTCGTTGATACTTATAAAAACATATAGTGTATTGAGGCTCATAAAGGAACTATGCATTTCATAGTTATGATATGCCAGCTAGATAGAACATACTGTAAAGTTAACACTATTTACTTTAGCCATTAGATTCAGTCTGTTCTTGGAGATATGAACTCAGTGGTAAACATTAGCCAAGCTTGCTGCTGCTCTCAGTTCAAATCCCAATACCATCTTAAATTCACACTGTGCCCATTTATAGTATAATAAACAACACTTAAGAAGCCCATAACCAGAGCAGAGAAAAATATAGACTCAATAAAATTCATAAAAAAGCTGTTACTTTCAAAAAAAGAATCCCATAACCTGCTACAAAAAGGATTTTTGCCCTTTTTAATCTATAATTTTAGTTTTTCTATGTAATCCATAACTTAGAAAATACACCACAAGTAAAAAGCCAGACAATATTTCAGAATCAATTTAAAAAAAATACAACTGTAACTGAACATGCTGAACAAGAAAAAGTATCTACACTCACATACTGTTGTTACAATGCAATGCCTGGGGCTCACTGGCCAACCAGGCTAGCTAATTCCAGGCCAGTAAGCCAGTAAGAGACTTTTTTTTTGGGGGGGGGGGGGGTTCGAGACAGGGTTTCTCTGTGGCTTTGGAGCCTGTCCTGGAACTAGCTCTGTAGACCAGGCTGGTCTCGAACTTACAGAGATCCGCCCGCCTCTGCCTCCCAAGTGCTGGGATTAAAGGTGTGCGCCACCATGGCCTGGCTAAGAGACTATCTTTTAAAACAGAACTTGAGAAGCACTATCCAAGATTGATCTGTGGTCTCTACAAACAAACGCACTTATATAACACACACACATAACTAAAGTCAGACAGAAACACAGGTGTCCAAGCATAAGTCAGTCTCAGGAAACAAACATAATAAAAAAGTCAAGACTAATCATAATTCCAACTGAAATCCCAAGTAAACGATTCTTTTTCCTAAGAATGAGACCTATTGACTTTTTTCTTTGTGTTAACATTCCAAAACCCTGAACAGCAGAGTTAAGAGATAAGGTTCTATTTGTCCTACCCTAAAAAATAAACTGGGAATACAGTTCTTCCAGGCTCAACAGCTCTGTGTAGTGTGGTTCTGGGATTCCTTGTCCCATCTCCCGTTCTCCTGAGCATGCTCCTGTCTATCCTTGGAATGCTCCTGGAATTTCATCACTGAGATGCTGAGATGAACTTGCACAGCAGACATTAAGAGTAAAACTAAGTTTTGAACTAATCAGAAAGTTACTTGTCTAGTCTTCACTAGTTTTTTATACTTGTCTTTTAAGGTTTACTGGTTGCTTTTATTCAGAAGTGTATGGGGAGAGAGTTGTACGTATGTGAGCACAGGTACAATCACTTGTACATGCATGTGGGAAGGTCACAGAACTCATTGCTGGGTATCTTTCCTCAGTTGTTCACATCCTTTGAGACTCTCTCACTGAACCTGGCGCTTGTTGCTTTGGTTATACTGCCTGGTTGGTGAGCGCTGCTCAGAATCTGCCTATTGCCACCCTGCAATACTGGGGAATCTGAACTCAGATCACACATATGCTGCAAGCACTTGCTGAGTCATCTCGACACTCCTCTGCTTGCTTTTTAAAAATGAGATAAATGAGTTGAAAAATAACAGAAACCAGATATTGTGAATGATTAGAGTATAGTAATTCCCTCTAAGTTCCCAAAGGCAAAATGTGAGGTACTAAAATAATCAAAATCTTAAATAGACATTAGTGTTTTTAGAAGAATGTTTATAGAAAGATGCTGCATAGCTCTGATAAATGCAGAAGAAAAGTCGAACTATTTCAACTAGGGCTGAACAAATGTTTCAGTCCGTAAACACTTATTCAAGAGCACGAGGACTTGAGCTGGGACCCCCAGGACCCACATAAAGAGCTAGGCACAGTACAGCACATACATACAGATTCCTGAAACTCGCTGACCAATGAGTCAAATCAGGCAGTGAACATTCAGGTTCAGAGAAAAAGCATGTCTCAAAATAATAAGAACAGGTGGCACATTCATTTAGTCCCAGCATTTGGGAGGCAGAGGCAGATGGGTAGCACATAGCAAGAGTTCCAGATCACTCAGATCTACACAGTGAGACCATGTCTCTCAAAAATAAGGGTCACAGGAGAGGGTGGAGAGTGACTAAGGAAGACACCCAACATCAACCTCTAGCTCTAAAGAAGCACACATGAGCATACACAACCATTTAAAACATCTACCTAATTTTCTGAGGACTAGATCCAGGAAAGAAGAATCTGATGGCCAGGTCAAAACATTCTTATATAATGTTGTAAAAACATATGCCATCTAAATGTTTGTATATTTATGCATAAAGTATTTCAGGAATGACACACAAGAAACTGATTATCATGGCTATGTCTATGAAAATCAGATGGCTGATGGTAGAATTAAGAAACAAGTATTCCTTTCACAATGTTGTAATCTTAGGCATTTGTGCAATGCCCATTATTTCCATTTCCCCAAACGGAATAAAAAATGAGAGAAGGGACATTAATTCTGCATTTTCCCTAAAATACTAATAACAGCATGGAACTAAATGGGAAGAGGCATAAAAAATGTGGCAAGAATAAAAGGTTTGTCAACATGTAACGACTGAAAATTAATTCAAAGTCAAATTATAGAGTCCAAACTGCTTCTGGGATTCTCATGACTTCACTGCAGCCGAGGTTTTGAACACACAATGTTACATTTTGAACTGCATGAGCTGTCACACCATTTAGTGCCAATGAATACTGCCTGCAACACAGGTCAGGGCTCAAGATGACTACAGATGCTATAAATCAGTTTCTACGGCACACTGCCCTTCCCTTGTGTGAACATAATCACAGAACACAAACA